TACGTTCACTGATATAAATTAACCATTTTACAAAACACTAAAAGAAGAGAGATTTTTTATTTGAGAAAACTAATTTATAAATTATGAAACCTTTTTTTGCACCTGTATAGCTCACTAAAGTAATGTTCGATGTTTTTGTCAATGTAATTCATAGATCATTATCATATCGGGCATGGATAAAAAATATTCTAATGTAATTTCATATCACTATAGTGACAAACCTAACTGTAGAATTATGGTTTATAATTCTCTAGTTGAATACTTCTTAATAATAATTTAATAAAAAATGAAAACACCTTTTGACGCTATATAGATAATAACCGCTGTTCATCCGAAGTAAATAAGATATATTTGAATTTTAAACTTAATAGACATTTATAATTATTTTGTTTCGCATCGATTATATTGCCACCAAAATTATTTTTTTGCCCATGAATCATACTACAATAGGTTGAGACTTTTTTTCTGATTATATTATATTTGTGGGTCTTCGGTGAAAAATTAGACGCACTTTTCTTTTTCTAGAATTAACGGTGAATTTGCATCGAAAGAGAAATTTCCAACGTAGGTTGGATGACATGTGATCTTATCGATGCTGACGGAATCCCGTATGATAACAAGGAAAGTTTCAATTCAATTCATATGACCAATCATTACTAAAAACAACAGGAAAAAAATAAAGTATTTAAAAGTATGTTTTAACATATCTGCAATCATTTTTATATTCTTTGTCTGATCATTTGTCCAAACGAATAAATGAAATTAACATTTAGAAGTAATATGATCACTGTTTGGGTGACACTTTTACTTATTACTATAGGACCAAGTTATCAATATAATTATTCGTGTGATTCAAGTGCAACTTGTGGATGTTCGTCTAGATCAACAAGAGTTACTCGTATTGTTGGTGGAGAAACAGCAGGAGCAAACAATTGGGGTTGGGTTGTGTCCATAGAAGTTGAGACTACTGGCGATCGTGTTAAACTATGTGGTGGATCTATTTTATCAAGCACATGGATCATTACAGCAGCACATTGTATGAGTGGCGCTACAGCATCGAAAGTAACTGTTTATGCTGGCTCAAATGCTAAACATGCTGGTCAATCTCGAGTAGCATCTACTATTACTGTACATCCAAGCTATAATAGTAATACTAAAGTTAATGATATTGCTTTAATAAAGCTTAGCACTCCATTAACAATGTCTACGGCAGTAAAGCCTGTTTGTATACCATCTGTATCTTCGGCTACATTAGCTGCCGGTGAATGGCCACCAGCTAATCTATATGTAAACTATAATATATATCTTATTTGTTTTCTCTTATAATTAATGTTCAATATCATTCGATAGGTTGTTGCAGTTGGATGGGGTTTGTTGCAGGAAACTGGTTCATCACCATTATATCTTCAACAAGTAACCTTACAAATAATTGACTATCTTGCTTCGACTTGTTCAATTATATTAGAAGATCCACAAAAACAACTTTGTGCTGGTGTTCCAGGTGGTAGAAAAGGTTAAATTGCATTCAATGCTCTTTTTTAATTTTTTGTAATATTTTGTTTTCGAAGGTACTTGCCAAGGTGATTCAGGAGGTCCTCTAATGATGTTTACAACGAGCAATCAATGGGAACTAGTTGGTTTGATCAGTTATGGTTCTAAATGTGCAGAAGCAGAGGCTATGGGAGTTTATACGCGTGTAGCTTATTATCAAAGTTGGATAAAACAAACAACGAGTAATGCATATATAAATCCAACATCTTCAGATTCAGCAAAAATTGCTCCTTCAAATTCTACATGGGATAATATATTCAGTTCTTCTTCGTCATTCATGTTTTTTTTACTTCTTTTCACTTTATTTTTTCTCATCTATTTATAAATCTAATTAAATTAAAGAGACACCATTATTTTTTATATACTCCGGATGTCGTTACTAATAAAACTTGAAAATTTTGTTTTTTTGAATATTAAACAATGGTATTGAATATATTCTGATAATGATGTGATTTTGGATAATTATATCATGGAGAAAAAGAATATTTGCACGGAGAGTAGTCGTAAAAGAAAACACTTCATATGACCGCAAGAATTTTTTCATATAAATTAACACGTGTTCGTTGCATATAAACAAAGAAACCACTCAAAATAAACATATGAAGAGCGATATGTTATATTTTTTCTTCTTTTTTAATTACATGAAATACATGACATACTAAAAATCTGAATGTATTATTCTATTTATTTATTATCAATACAATAATGCTTTATTTTTTGTCAAAAACTATATGCATATAAATAGCTGAACGTTAGTTTTGGAATTTTGGATAATTTACAAATATAATCAAAAGAATGGAAATGTATTATTCTGAAAATGATTCTTCATCACTATCTATGTTGAAACCACTATCATGTAACTGCTGAAGTAATAATGTCTGAAATATTGTTGGATGATCTAATCATTTTTGAATCAAAGCATCAGTTTGATGAAGTTCATTTTTAGTGTGTATTCTGTATTAATATAACAAGAAACTTTGATTGAGATAAACTCTAGTCTATCAATTGAAGGTTTTTCATAGAATTAAATTCTACAACTGAAAAATTCAACTAATATCATATCTAGTAGAAAAAATATACGGAATAATATTTAAAACTGTATAGATAACGTCATCTCAATAGGTTTCGACTTTTAGTCAATTTAAACTTTGTATTGTGAAATCTGTATAAATAAGTAATCGACGTAAATTATGACGTATAAGTTTATCATGTCGATGATGACTTGCTTGATTATAACGAGCTTTTTTTCTTTTACGTTCACTGATATAA